TCTATCTTGTGTTTTTGGCCTTAATGAATACAATTTGAATTAAGTTTCCCCCCTCTAAATCTCTCCCGGATATTCTGAATTAGCTACCTACCAATTTTCATAGCAACATCTCCATCCGCCTCCCTTCCAGAAACTCCACAATAGTTAAAAAATATAGCTCTCTATATAAATATATAGAGCTATGTTTTTTTCCCACTATTCTAGAGTTATATTTTATTCGCTGTATTATTTCTATCTCTAGAGAGAGAGAATACTTTGAATATTATTTAAGTTATAGTTTGAGCAATCGAAATTGTATTAGCGAGTCGATATATATGATACGATCAAATACTAAATGACTCATCAACGATAGAATTTTTATTTAGCAAACAATAAAAATTTAAAACATTTTCATAGTAAATAAAATATTTTTGATCGAGGAATATATTTTATATATAGGCTAGATTCGAAGAATGCTACTGCCAAAAATTTTCTTTATTAGAATTCATATTGCCCATCCTCCATGCAGTTTTATTATTATTGTATTGTCTTACGATATAGTTATGATTTGGTTAAAATTGTGTGAACATTTTATATATTTGAAAGTTAATATTTTAAATCTAATGTATTTTTAAAAACGATCCAGCTTCACGGGATTGCATACATTTACAGCAAATAAATAATGTAGCCTTAGCCTACTGTTTTATAAAGTATAAATTTGTTATAAATTTTGTAAATACATTTGTATGGGAAATTACAGGAAAATAACGATTTATGTATAAGTTATATAAAGTATAAATGTTAAAGGTTCGTTCAAGTTAAGGCCAATTATTCCGTAGAGATACTGTACAGTACATTAAAATTCGAAGGAATGCGCTCCGTAAACTCGCGGTGTAAGAACTTTTTCTTTCTTAAATAAATCTAAGAAATTATTTTCATGAAACATCGCCCTAAAAGTTATCAACACATTACAGTTTAAATTAAATCGCTCAATATTTGACTTAACTCTTTTCATTTCTTATATTAGAGATTAATTCTGTAAGTATTCTTTTATCTGCCCTGCACGACGTGAGCATACAATATTTTAATTTTATGCATGTAAGAAGATTTATTTATTATAATTAGCATTGTAATGTGCGTTATTTCAAATTTTTTATAAAATGATTGCGTAAATCATAACCACCCATAAATCATGATAACATTCAAACTGTTATCTTGAGCCTTTTTTTTTAATCGTTTTTCTTCAGATATTTATAAAATGTTAATGTACTTAAGTACAATAAGGAATATTTTACTAGATAACAAAAAAATTAGAAAATTTGATATTTTATGCTTTATTTCAAAGATCAGAATTTTACACAGTGAAAACGATTAAAATATTTGCTACATATTTACAGATTATCGAATATTAATTTTATTCTAAATATATGTAGGACTATTTTAAAAAATTTCGGGTCTACAAAAATAATGCTTTATGCATTAATGAATACAGAAGAGGATTAAAATATTATTTTTCTAGTTTGATATAGATGAAGACCTAAATTAATTTCACTCGTGCATAATACTATTATCATTCATGGATCATTGTATAAGCAGAGATGAATATGATTACAAAATTTCATACTATATTAAAAAGTTTAGTTATAGGCCTACATTAGATAAAATCGAAACACTTTTCTGACAAGCATTAGTTCTAATGAATAGAAAGCTCTACCTTTATCATCGATAGATTAAATGTTAGATTGATTATGTTAATTTTACAATTTAAAGTTATAAATTGTTTTGTTTTGAAGCTTGATTTTATCAGTCAACATTCAGTTCTTAGCTAAATAAAAACAGAAGAAACTTAACATTCGGTTTTTATACTACTACTGTTTCAAATGATGAGGCTGCATTGTAGAATGAAAAGCAGTAAAAAGTTCAAAGATCAAGGCGTTCAAGTAAAAACTCCACAGAAATAAATGGCTTTTATTAACTTTATTCATTTTTGCTATTTACGTTATATTACTTTCCGATTAATAATTTATATTTAGGAAAAAGTAATAATAAGTAATCATTATTTTACTGTCATCCCAAGGGCAATGTTCAAAGAATTTTTTGTATCTTCGTAACATAACTGCAATTTTTTTAGAATTCGAAGTAATTTTAAAGAAGAATATTTTTAAAAAATTATATATATTTTTTATTTAATATAGAAGAATATATTTAGCAAAATAATAAATGTACTTTTTTCCATTTTTAATATCACTAATTTAAAGATAAGCTAATCATAGTTGATAAGAACTAAAATTGTTAGCCTGTGTATAAGTTTTCGGTGTATTCACCGTGTTTTTTGTATCAATATTATATATAGCTTCAAAAAACCCAAACATATTTTAATACACTAAGAAAGGAGTATTTTGATTGACATCGAAAAGTTGAGAATCTCGCCGTTCTTTGAAAATTTAGCAATTGAATATATAAAAGCGATCTTTAATTAATAAACAGATGCACAAATAAAAATTGTCATACTTTTTAAATTCAATATCAAAATTCCTATATAATATGTGAATAAACAATATAAGAAGCAAATTTTTATATTCTACGAATTCTCATTAAGATCAACTATAATAACTTTTACTTATAAAAATCTGTCTCAAGATGTAATTACAGTACAAGTTAATATATTTGTTTATAATATATTTTGAAAGTTAAAATTGAAGCTTATTAACATTGTTATTCGTTAATTTTGGAAATAATCTAATTCTAACGGCTCAGAAATTTAAAATCAGATATCTTATTGGAGGAAGATAAATGTCGAATCGGATGAACCTTGTTAGAGGCTCGAATAGTAAAGCACATACTAATCTTTTCTGTTACCTTTATTTTCTAGCAGATAAAAAAAATAAAAACAAAAAACATTATACAGTAAATTTAACACGATTGGTCAATATATTATGACGTTAAATACTATAAACAAAAAATTCAAAGCGATTCTAATATAACTGAGCAATCTTAGATCTATTAGTTATCGAAAAAGTTATGCAATATTTTACGAAGTAATTATCTTCAGTTTTTTTGTATGAGTAAAGTAATTTTTAAGGTTATTATAAAGTTATTTAATACGTTTTCACTTCATAAATTTAGAAGTAATAAATAAAATTCTTTTTCGAAACAGATTTGGAACATTTTCCGTGTAATTCTAGTAATTGCCGACAGATGTCGATAGTAATTCAAAAGTACAGTACATGACACTTTATAGCTGACAAAACCGGTATTTAATAATGGAGAATGTCATGCGACTCTCGTACGCGGTGTTTATAACTTTTTATTCTCAATAGCTAATACGAAATATTTGTTTAATATTTTACTATTAAATGATTTAATCTGGAAGCGACAAAAATTCATTACCTTACACGAAATTTAAAGATGATCAATCACGTTTCAATGTTAATTCTAAAAATTACCATGATTTTTTACCTTTATAATTTGTTTGTTTATGTTACGTTAAAGATATTAAGGCAACGAATGGAGCGAGTCGTACGAAGTGACGACGTATTGATTGTAAGGAGAAGCGAAGGACGGATGCGTTCGGTCGGAAAATGTCGCAAATCCGAACCATTCCTTGACCCAGTTTTGCATCCGTCCTTTAACACCCATTCGCGTGCGTTTTCATTCAGTTTATGATCTGTTTTTCAAATATTTCTTCATTTTGATCTTCCAGCCGAATTCCTGCCATTTCGAATGAAATCGACAAAATTTTACATTTGTTTTTACGAATTGAATCATACATACAATGTAGAATAATTGCTGGTTACAGATTTCCATCGATCAACTCAATTTCGATATCGCCTTTTAAAAGTGTCTAAATGACGTATTTTGATAATGCAACATTAAACTTAACTTTCATCAATTAATATTACAATTATCTCAAGTTAATGTCAATGTCGTCTTATGAAAGTACGATTATTTTCGGCAATCTGTCGAATAATTTTTTCCAATATTATTATAAATGTATACATGTACCCAAAATTCGTAAATGCAAAATTAATACACCATAACATAATTATATAAAACTTGGATAGTCTTTAGTATGATTAATTGTTGTAAATTCTACTTGTGTAATAGAAACGATGTTAGCATTTTAAAAATTATTTCTCGTGTTTTAGTGGGCTACAGTATTTTTTCTCTTTTTTTAGTTGGAAACTTAAAACAGTATAATTTTGTTATTAGCTGCGATTAAATAATGCATGGAGGTATTTACAGTACATCGTGACTAGCGTGACGAGTTTCTAAACCGGTATCATTATTCTTTTATCGACTATCTTAACTTTACAACACACGTGAAAAATTGCGTAATATTTGTATTTATACTTCATCTAAACTTACAGATGTAGGGAAAATGCTCCAATAGTCATTAGCCGCGAACAAATGTAAATTTAATTGCTTCGAAATAATTTACTCATTACAAAAACGGAAACTATAAAGTTTCCAGCTTGAAAAATTTAATATCGACGTACACATAATAAGGGCCGTCGATGAGGGGAAGCTGGGATTTTTTCCGGGCCTGGTGAAAAACTTTTTCCGGCCCATTGTTGTTTTTATCTCTATAAATGATTATTTTTAGTAACAAAAAATAAATAAATAAAACTTTAAAGCCGTTTTTATTAAGTTATTAAAGAAACATTATTCGTATTTAATTTCTTAAAAAAAAAGAAAGAAAAAGGGGCCCATACAAACTATCGACGTCCCTGTACATAACACTTTCGTAATTCTCTAGTTCTGTCGCATTTTTATTCTCTCTCGTACTGAATTACTAAAAAGGATTGACTTTGAAATACTCAAACAAAACAGTATTTTTTTTATTTATTTAATTAAAGTTGCAAAGGCATGGAGTTTTCTTTTTATTGGAAGAATATTTAATTTCGAGTTATATTTTCTCTGATTTTGAGTATTTTAAATTGAATACTCTTTTGTAACGACAATAAAAATTAAGTAATACTTTTCCAGCGGGATTTTCTATTCTTTCTATGTTTAAAAATTTCCTATCTTATAATTTATAGGGAATTTTTCTACATATTAGAAAGTAGGGAATTTCTTATTCGATTCGTTTTCGTAAAAATAAAAATTTTAATGAAGTTATTATGTAATATACCCTTTTCATTAAAATGACAAAAAATAGAATATCGCTAATAATCCCAAGTAATTGCAATGAAAAATCTATGGCGTTTTATTCTCCTGACGTTTCTTTACAAGGCTATTTCTTAATTTCTAATCTGATTGAGAGATTTCTTCAAAGGACCCTTGTGATCCACTGTAACAGTTCGATTATCGACCCGAATGTCGTTAATGAATGAATTGCACCATTTTAAAGTCATTTTGAAATAGTAGTTTTAAAAGTTTATCTGTAGGTCTGTATTAACTGACGAAATACGTAATAAAAATTGATGCGAGACTTTTCATTGTAGAGACTACTAATTAGGAAATAGTTAAGTAAATTTTATTCGGTAATTCTTTCCTTTTCGCATCGATGATAATACGGAATAGCTGTTAGCCTCCGAATACAGTAGGCCTCCATTCTATTTTTAGTGAGGATGAGATGATACTTTCTCTATTTTTCACGCTTTGTTCACTCTGCCCTAGTTCTCTGCCGACCGTTTTTAACGCTGACCCCAATTATCGTATGTGTTGTGTAATTCGATCGATGTCACTTCCGTTCCGACGTTTACCACCGCGCGTTTTAGCTCGATTTTTAAAGCACACCTACGCTATTGCCGTTGCCAGACGGATTTTTACTGTAGTCACTCTCCACTTAGTTTTTCGGAATCTGGTTGAGAATAAATAAGTGACGTGCGCGCGAATATCCGATGCGTAATACGTAGAAAATACTATAGAACAATATTTATATTATTTTTATTTGCCTGCCGTTTTTCAACCGGTGGACGGACCATGAAAGATACTGGAAGTGTTTGCGATAACAAAGCTTCCGTTTTGAGAAGCATTCGCATTACTTACGATATAGACGCTAAATTATACGGAAACGTAATTTTGGCGACTAAGCCACGATTACATCGTGGTTGCGAGTTTCATTTTTGTTGGAGGAAAGGACGAATATCCAATAATCATATCGGATCGTTGACTAATGGCTGTTGCGTGAGTATGTTCGTTTGTTTTTGCGTTTCGATCGTACAAAGATATAATAGTCGAGAGATTTAATGATTGAAAATTTGTATTTAAAAAATATAAACCTCTGATAGATTTATTGCGTCTTATCTAACCGATAAAACATTTGTCGTCTTTCATTTACGTCACATATATTATCGATCTGCTTGCCATTCCGCCTTCTTACATTAAGGTGTTTCTTTAATTAGCCTAAGTCTTTGCAAGCAAACTTTTATCATGTCAAATAAATCGTGTTTTGAATTTATAAAAGTTGATATCTTCAAGAAAGTCCAGGTAACGCAATTAATATCCATTTCTAATATATTTTAACATCTTAACAGTAGGAGTATTTTCATGTTAAAGTCTTAACATGAAAATATTCCCATAACTAAGAATTTAAAACACATATAAAAGTATAAATGCTGTATTTTTTGCATGTCATGTTGGCTAAAATATTATTTCAGATATGATATAGGTTATATAAAGTTTTAACTTGTTTAAAATAGATAGATATCTATAAATCTTTATTTTGTATGTAATTAGTATAGAACTATTATATATTATAATTAAATACATATTTATTTATTTGTTTGTTTTATTTTAGCCATCAGCATGGAAGAAATTAAGAAATATTGTTCACTGGTCACCTTTTGTCCAAACTTATAAAAAACAAAGATATCCTTGGGTACAACTTGCTGGTCATCAAGGTAATTTAGTCATTTTTATGGATTTTTAAATGTTAAGTAATATCATAATTTGTGTATTCATAGATGAATTTAATTTTTCATATTAGAAATAATGCTAACTACAGTAATAATAATTTTGAATCTGTTATAGCAGTCAGAGATTCAATAAGACAACTTCTTTCATAAGAGACTAACCAATAGATTAATCAGTTTTTCTAAGAAAATAAATGTTCTTTCATTCACTGATTTGAAAATTTTATATTTTTCTTACCTTATTAAATTTTTAATTGTTGATGTTATATTCAATAAACATATAATCATTAATTCTTGTATTATGTTTCATTAAAAGTTAATCAATATTTATTTGGCCATTTTATATTGTCTTTGTACATTCTTTTGTTTTTNAATTTGAAGCTAATAGTAAATATTTACTGTCTTCAAACTCAAGAAATTTAAGGAGTTTATGTATATATATATATATTACTTATAATCTGTATAAGCTAAATCAATTTATACAATATTAATATCATATTTTCTAAAAAAATTGTAAATATATTAAATGTTATGAAAATAAATCAAATCGGCATTTTCCTAGTCAAATTTCACAAATGAAATTTTTATATGAAAAATTTTTTGAAATAAAATTTATGAAATTTTAACTTAAATGAAATTGAAGAAAATTTTTAAATTTCTATAGAGAATATTAATTTTTATCTTCCATTTAAAACCAATTTCAAATTGTAATATAAAATTTTTATTACTATGAATGCTCATCAAAAATAATAATGCAATTATATATAATAAATTAACATAAAAGTATTTGTTATAATAGGCTTTTATATAAGAGCATTTGTAATAATTTATCTGATGACTAATATCTATATCTTAAAACTATTAAAATTTCATTTATATATTTACATAAGATAAAAATTCTATTTAAATTATTGAATATGAAACTATTGAATGAATGAAACAGATGATTATTTTTGTATGCAATGTTATCTTGTAAATTTCCTGTAAATTTTATATATAAGACAAGGATATTTTTGTATCCTAAACAGATTTTAGTTTTCTTTTTTTTTTTTATATATATTATGAAAACAATATGTTTGATGATGATGTCAAAATTTATGAATTCAATAGATTGTACAAATATTTCTGAAAGTCAGTGTATAATAATTTTCTTTGTTGTATGTATATAATGATTTATATCAATAAAAATTTTCATGTAACACTGCTTTTTTCTTTAATATACTTTTCAGTTACTATAATAGGTAAATTTTTAAAATTCAAAACTTGAAAAAGTAATTTTACATTTAAATAATGTATTCCAATAATTATGATTGCAGCATTTCCATTGTTTGATTACAATTCAATTTCAATGATTGTAACTAAATTTATTATTACTTACTTATTTTAATTTGGGAATTTCTTTTTCTTTGAGTTGGTGAATTTAAATTGACACAAGGATAAAACTGAAAATTTTTGCCCAGGTTTTATTTTAAATTGTACTGTTAACATAGACATTTTTATTATAGTACAGCAGGGAAGAGCCCAAGATAAAAATAAATTCCTCCATGCAGGGACATTCAGAGGGGTAGATGGGGATTTTTCCAGGCTCAACGAAAACTTAGGCTGTACATAAATTATAATTCATGAATTGTCTAGGAAGTTTTTGGAATAAAGAGATAAATGTTTTCAGCAATATTAAATATCTGTCAATAGATTGAACATTTTAATTTAAAAAGGCAGTAAAAGTTTTTTTTTACAGCTGTAAAAATTTTTCAAACCACAAACTAATATTTTATTAAATTAGATGTGTCAAGGACTTACATTAATACAAAAGTATTCTATATTTGTGTATTTTTAAAAAATATATATTAGATATTTAAATATTTAATTTTTAAAAGAAAGGCCTATATTATTGGTAATATAATTATAATAAATATCTGAAATTTTAAAATGTAAAATTGGTAATTTAATATATAACATTAATCTGACATATAGGTCATTGGGTTAAGTAGGGATTGCTTTTAACTATTGTTTTATTGATCATACACAGGAAATTTCAAGGCTGGCAACCATGGTACAATACTAAAAAAACTATGTGGAAGAGAAGAAATATGTTTGGAACAGTTGATGAAAGATAGTCTAAAACCATTCATTCCAGAATATAAAGGAAGAATTGTATCAGATGATGGTGAAAGTATCCTTTATAGAATAGTAAACTATTTTCAATGGTCCGAAGAGCTATTATACATATTTATTTATTTGTTTGTTTTATTTTAGCCATCAGCATGGAAGAAATTAAGAAATATTGTTCACTGGTCACCTTTTGTCCAAACTTATAAAAAACAAAGATATCCTTGGGTACAACTTGCTGGTCATCAAGGTAATTNCTTAAATTTTTGAGTTCTAAGCAAATTTTTAAAATAATAATAATCATTTTGAATATGTAAATATTTAGTTTTTATATTATAAATAATGTTTAGTATCCAAATTACTATATATTTGTTCTTTTTTTAAATATAGGAAGATTTTCCTCTAATAGAAACTATTTAAATCAAATCATCATTAAAATCTTTTGATAAAGAGATTTTAAAAATATTTTCTATTTTATCAAGTGCTATGTTTTGCTTATAATAATAATTTACCCCTTCTATTAGTATAAAATGTAAACATTGAAATTGATTAAATTCTAAACATTTATTCAAATAAATTCATTTCTTAAATTATAAATTTATTTTTTACACAGATTGTTTTACACAAGATTTAATCTTCTAGAACAAAAATATATAAATTATAAGCTCAAAAATAAAATCAAAAGTATAATTTTAATTAAATGAATTTTATAATTATTATAATTAAATTGCTTTTTTCTCAAATTTTCAATTTTTTGGATTGTATTTAACATAGTTTTTTGATATATTGGTGCATTTTTTTTTATTAGAAATTGCTAACAAAAATTATTTTTTATGCCAAATTTACTGATATTCAAAGATTTATTGCATTAAAATCTGTTATATGCTGTTATAAAGTTTATTAACATAATATTTTAAAATGTTGCTTTTGTTTATGTACATGTTATGCAAATCTTGAGAATGACCTATTTCTCAAACTCAGATTCAAAATATTGTTGTATTCACATAAGGTTATATATAACAGTGAAATTAATTGAAATTTTAAATGCAATGTTTATTTTATAATGAAAATTTATAAAACTGACATGAAATTTTTATTAAAGTAGCATAGTTCATCGATAAAATTAAAATTCTATTTTATTACGCAGTTTTAAGACATATCAGGTTCATGTGCAGTATTTTTAAAATTTTGAAAAAATATTTTTTCATAATGTAGTTCATTAATTTTAAAAAAATTATAGGTATATAAATTATTACAATATAGTACTAAGGAGGAACTAAATAGGTTCAAATATGTTATTTTTTTTATTTATGATAATTTTTTAATTCTTCTCTAATGCACAGGGTTAAATCCTCAAAAATCCCTTTGTGCATAGCCTTGCTATCTATATATGAATTAATGACTAAAATAAAGTAATAATGGTAAATGAAGAGAATTTGATTAACTAACACCATTATTTGTTTATAGATGATATAAAAATTGATAAAGCAATTTAATTCATTATTTAAGGTTTGACACTATTTCAAGCTTATATATAATATTTAGTTAAAACTAAATTAATAATCATTCTTTTTTAAATTTGATAAATTGTTATAAATATCAATAAAATTGTAAGAAAAACAGTAGTGAAAGTTTTCTTTATAAATTCATGACGTAAAAAATTTAAACTTTATTTTAATTAAATTTGATATAAAAACTATATGTGGAGGTGTAGTAGATTATTAATTATACAGATATTCAGATGGAAATTTTTTATTGTAAGTTTTTCTTTAACATATTCTTCAGTATACTTAGAATTACAAGATTTATTAGGTGGTTTTGAAAACCCATGTGTTTTGGATGTTAAAATGGGAATAAGAACATATTTAGAAGATGAATTAGCAAAAGCTAGAGAAAAACCAAAATTAAGAAAGGTAAGAATGTATATGGAATCATTTAAATCAAATGTAATAAATAAATCATATTCTGTTATTTGCAAACTTTTTTTAATATTTCCATGTTACTATAAAAAAAATAATTATTGTACTTGTCATTAATAATAATAGTTTTATTACACTGAAACCATTAGTTTTATTTACAGTTAAGTTTAATTAACTTGTGAATTAACAAGATACATTGTTCTTTTAATTTCAATATTTCTTAACTAACTATGATCTTTTAAAATAAAAATATTTTGTGAAATACTGATATTATTTCATACACTTTTAGCATTTTTATCAAATACTCTAATTAAAATAACTTATTGAAAATATTTAAGGATATGTATGATAAAATGATCCAAATTGATTCTGAAGAACCAACGGAAGAGGAAAATAAGATGAAAGCAATTACTAAACCACGATACATGGTTTGGAGAGAGACTATTAGTTCTACAGCTAGTCTTGGGTTTCGGATAGAAGGAATTAAGGTAGATAAAAATTATCAAGTATATCTTAATTTCTTTTGAAAATAATGAAATATTTATGGAACTTAATTATCATAAATTTTCTGTTTAAAATTACTTTATTATTAATATTGTCATTTAGTTATAGATATGTATTAGAATAAATATAAAATTGTTTAAATATATTGAATATATATA